TTATCTTCACTGACCATTCTTGTAATTATTATTTTGAGTTTTTTGTCTGCACTTCACTTCACTGTCATTTAGTTTAGTGTAGATTTGAATTTTGGAAGACTCGTTTCGCCTTTTGCTTTATTTCTTTTGTTTCTATATTGAAACGTGTGCACCTGGGGCCAAGTCTTTAGGTAGATGTTTTAATAATAATAATCATCATCCAGGTAAATTATTCTCAATGTCCAGATGAGAATGTGTAGAAACAGAATTAAGAAACTATTTCTCACTACCAGAGTGTGTGGCTCATGAACCAAATAGCTTCCCATGTACTTCAGAGACTAGGCCTTATCCCCAGCACTCCTCATCAAGAAATACTAGCTGGATTACTTGTAAGAAGGGTCAGTTCTCTGTATGAGGGCTGCCTTCATTAAAGAATACTGTTTTATGTACAGGACCACTTGTTGACTGTGGGGATAGTACCAAGTTCTCCTCTAGCATTGGAAAAAGTGACAGAATGAGACACTCTGCCTGCTGGCTTCAATGATCTCAGGCCCAACCTTCAGTTCATATTCATGTTAGGACAGGGGAGGAGGCTGTGGAAATAGTAGAGTTTAGAGGGCCTGGGCTTGGAACACTTAGTCTCACCGGGCAACACTTTATGGGATGCCATTCCTGGAGGAGGGGCTCAGTGCTTTCAGATACTTTTCAGCAGTTCCACCTACTATGAAGGGCGGAGGTAGTGTAAATCATGTGAGTTGGAGGACCTGGCCTTGGTTCTCTTAGCTCTGCCTGGAAGCAAACACACACACCCATTGTGATGATTTTCTCTAAGGTGGGTTTCAGTATTTTCTGACCTCGCCCTGCCTGTCACTCCTCATTTTTCAGAGGAGTGAAGGAAAGTTGTAGAAATCATATAATTTGAGTGGACTGAGCTCAGAGCCCACAGACTCAACTAGCAGCCAACACACATAATCAGGAGGCAGGTCCTGATTATCTCAGCCAGAAGCTCAGTGCTATTTTTCCTTCATGGCCTTTAGACTATGGCTCTGTCTCCTCTCAATGAAGAGTGGGGTCTCTAACCACCATGCTGTTCACTGCTCAAATTCTTTGTTACTTAATCTTCTCAATAGGCCTCAATGTCAGACTACTCTGCCTCTCCACATTGGCTTTGCAGTTTAAGCATGCAGCCTGTGTAGACAGTAGCTACACCAAAGTCCTTCATATAAGCCCAACAAAATAGTACAGAACAGATATGATGGGATATGGTGGACTATAGAGCAATGGATTACAAATGGCCTGATTCACTGATCTCACAGGTGGATGCTTGGTTAATGAGCCCCACACCTACTCAGGTGGTGAAAAACAGCACCGTATCCCTGTGAGTACACAGTCCTACCTGAACATTGAGAATAATCCATCTGTAAAGACTACAGGTTATTACAACTTGTACCTGAAGACTTGGCCTCGGATATAAAAATCCCCATGTAGAAACACAAGAAATAAAAAGTTCAAAAATTCCACCCCACAAGGAACATCGGTAAAAAACCATACTGGGTGGAAGAGGTACATCATGTGCTATATTTTTCACCACCCATGGCTGTTTTTATTTTCTGAATTCCAGTTATTGTACACAGTCCAGCTCACGTTCTCAGTCTTCTAACATCCACTACTTTGATGATTGGCCAATAGAGCCAACCATATTAATGGAAATGTAAACTATACTCTTTCTCAACTCTGAAATGAATCCTAACATGTATTTATTTCAATGAACTTTCTTCAGTTCTGTTCTGCCACAAGGTCACACTGTGCCATATGATAAATGATGCTGTCAACAACTTTAACAATATTGCTCTGATTTCCTAAGGAAAAAACAATGGAAGAAATTGTTTCCCAAAGTACCAAGCTACATGGGACTTCTCAAGATGGCCTCTTATAGCTCCAAGCTTTTACATTGAGAAACACAGAGCACTCCTCAAACACTAGTATTCTGGGTAGCTTTCAGATGAGCTGTATTCAGAATGTCTTTCTGGTCTGCTTCTTTTTTGTGTCAATTTTCTCTACAATAACTCTCCTTCTTACCTTTTTGTTACTCCTCCCCTATGCCACCAGTCCACCTTAGGATCAGTACTGTTGCATTGTTTCCTACTCTCTGTTACAATAACTAGAATCTCTGAGTATCTCCAAGTCTCCTTCTGTCTGATATTAAAGCTTCAGTGCATCCCCTCAGTCATCAACCTTGTTAAAAAGCTGTTTTTCTGGCTGTTCCAATTATGAGCTGATAAGCTAGAAATCATTGTTTGCTACTAGTTTGATATCTTGCCTCTTCCTGTTAGTGATTTTCACTTGTCGAATTTCTCACTTTGTTCTTGAAATGTTTTTAAAATATTATTCATGCTTTAAACATTCATTCTAAAAGTTCATTGAAATTCATTAAGGATATTGCTACTCCTTTGCTTATGATTTCACAGACCTCCATTTCTTTAGGAACAAATCTCCATTGTTGTATATTTGTCACTTTCTTTTGGAGGTGTTGTAATTTCTTGAGTCTCTGTAATCCATGTATTTTTCCATTGGAGTCTGTGCATTTAAATATACAGCTACTTCTTCTGATTTTCCCTTCCTTCCTTTTTTCTTTCCTTCCTTTCTTCTTACCTTTTCTTCTACCTTTCTACCTCCCAAGTCTTCTTTCCTCCTTCTTGTCCCTGGACCTCTCCTCCTTTTCTTCTTCTTCTTCTTCTTCTTCTTCTTCTTCTTCTTCTTCTTCTTCTTCTTCTTCTTCTTCTTTCTCTCTCTCTCTCTCTCCCTCTCTTTCTCTCTCCTTCTCTACCTCCCTCTCTTTCTTTCAGTACAGAGATAGATCATAGATCATTACCATTTAGTCCAGCATTTCACACTGACTTTGGATATACTAAGGGTTAACAATTACAGGCAGCCAGAGTTTAGCTTTCTGTTCTGTAGATGGCTGAGCTATAGCCAAACATATGAGTTTTCATGGAGCAGCTTGCTGGGCTCTGCTGTCTGGTGAGACTACAGCTAAACTCTCTGTGCAATGAGGGAGAAATACTGGGTGGTTGCTCCAACAGGATCTCATTGTAGAAGTACACAGAGTATATTTATCAGTCCAAGTTACTGCTATTTACCCATTGAAATAGGAAAGAGTTTCAGAAGGAGGTTCAAAATAAATTGAGTCACTGCTTAGCAGGAACAAAACTAAGTAATTTAGGTGGGCTTTGAGGCTGAACTGAGGCTTAAACTCTAGACTGTGGCAGAACAATCCATTGTCTTTGTTGAAATGTGCAATGGTGGGGTCTTAGGTTTTGTCTCAAGGTGGACAATTAGGGATTCAAGCTAGGTAGAACGTCCCACTGCTTCTAGTAGTGACTAGCTTGTCATTACAATTGGACTATATTTCACATGGTACCTGTTATCACATACCCCCACTAGGAGATAAACAAATCTATCAAAGTTGATCTAGTCACAAGTTTACTCTTGCTTTCCCCATGGGTTGTGATTGAAGTGACTTGCTGGAAAACTTCTTGAAATGCTAGAGCAGATGAACATTTGCTTTCTATTCTTCATTCTCATTGTAAAAACTATAGACCCCAAAAATTGTTTTTTGTGCAGACCATGCTAACATGAGAGGGAAGGAGCAGGCATTGAAATTGAGACAATTTCTCTAACACTCTCAATGAAGACTTAAGTTCTGTGGTCCACATTGTTGAGTCAGATCTATTTACAAGCTTTGAGAGCACTACAGTATTCTTGTTTGTGAATAATTGCTAGTTTTAACTTCGTTGGAGTAAATAAAACCAGAGATATGCAGCCAAGTTGCTAATATTACTCTTCCTGAAAGTTCTTGAGCTATGTAATAACAAAGCTTTGTTTGGAGTTTATTCTAGCAGCATGTGGATGGTTAAATGGAATCGAATATATGGGAATGCCAAAACAACAGGAGCTATTACAGTTTGCTAGCAAGTTTTGTAAAACCTTAAAAATGTCATAAATTTGTGTGGGAACTGAGGGGAAGGGATGAAAGCCATTGTATTTTACACTCAGGTTTCCTCAGGAGTGAAATGAAGAGTTGATCTGGCTGTCTGCAGATATGGAATGATAGATTTACAGAAGTATTTAATTGCTATTTACTGTGTATTTAGTACTGTGGCTTTCACCAAGAAAAAAGTTGTAAACAAAACAAAGCAATGTATGCTACAATCTTATACATTATTTACCCAAAATATGTAAGTCATAGAATTCATGACAAATAGAGGACTACAGTAATTAAAATGCAGAAAAAATATTTCTGATGAGAGTCATGATAGAGCATGTACCAGAAGCTATTATTAAATAAATATTGATGGACCCCAACTTACAGTGTTTAAACTTACATTTTTTGACATTCAACAATGTGAAAACTCAACACAGTTAGTACAAACTTTGCTTTGACTTTGAATATTGATGGTTTTCTTGGACAGAGAAAACAGGTCCAGTACCTTTGCAATGTTTAACTGTAAACTAATGTAACTCTTCTGAGCACATTTAAAGTATGTGAAACGAAGAGAGGCTGTTTAGTAGGTTAGGCATACAAGACACATTTTCATCTTAGGGTATGGAATACTTAAAATTAATTAATCTGGACAGAACCTTCTTCATAAATCCAAGAACACCTATACTCACCTCTGACATTTGACTATTTCCCACATACAGGGCGTTATTTTAAGCATATTTCTTCTCTTTTTTCACTAAAACATTTAAAACAATCCAATTAAAGATATGCTATTTTTTTACCATCCTTATTTTATAAAGATGAACCAAGATATTAGAGTTAGGAAGTGTAAGGGAGTATTCAAACATAAAGTAGCTATCTATAGCCTGCATTCATTTCTATAAGGAATTACAAAGTTCCTGACCTCATTAGTGAAGTGTTACATTTAATGAACCTCCAGGATACTTAGGTAGAAACTTCCTGGAATTGTTAAAAATATATTTAAGAATGAAATCAATTAGTGATTTTGCTATATCTCATGACAGAAAATACTTCATATGACCTACTGTTGTCCTTAAAAATTGTACGTGAGGAAATGAAGAAGCTTGGAGTTAGACTTTATTGAACACTGCCATAAAAAATGTGGGAGTAAAGGAAAAAAAAGTACCAAAATAATAGATTTCCCTTAAGAGATCAAGAAGATGGGGAGATTGGAGCTTAATATTGGCTCAAGCATGGAGCATGTATAATCTCTAAAGAGAACAGAATACCTGATCCCTAAGGATGAAAGATTCATCATAGTGTACTGTGTAAATGCAATGGCCTCATTTCATTTTTATACGTGGAATCTGTTCACAGTGAAGACAATGGGTAAGTTTTTATCTTGCTCATAGTTTAGTAGTCATTAACCTCATGTAAAACCTCAGGTTTCCTATTAAGTAGTATATGTGGTACTAGTAAGGGCTATTTATTTTTCACTGATGCTTTAGAAGACTAGGTACTATTATTATAAATTACAACCAGTAGCTCTAGTATTCCATGGAATATGAGATGTTGTGCTACATCTTCTTAGAATCAAAGGAGCCAAAGATTTAGAATCAGATATCACCCTACCTGACAGGACTGCATTGGCAAATCGTAGTGACAAGGAAGCACCAAGACTCTCTCCTAAGGAGGGTAAGATTTGAAATGTATTTATTTAACAACTTTATTTATTTGTAGTTATCATATAAAATAGTATTTAGGAAGAATAAAACTTATTTTTTTGTCCAACACATACATTGTGAAATGACCCAACATTGAAGCTAATTAAAAAATCCATCACCTTTCCATAGTTAATCATGTGTGTGCATTTTATACATATGTATAAATATAGTGAGAAGATAATTTTAAGAAATATCCTATTAGCAGATACCAAGTGTACAATACAGTATTTTTAACTATTGTTGACATTCTGTAAATCAGATCTCAAAAGTAATTATCTGGCATATTTGACTGTTTTTACCCTTTGGCCAAAATTACCACTTTCTTTTCTCCTACTGGCCATGGCAACCAACTTCCTACTCTCTGCATATATGAATATTACTGTTTCAGATCTACGTATAGAAGATACCATGTGGTATTTCTCCAGTAGTGTCTTGCTTATTATACTTAGCATGATGTCTTCATGTTTTGAGATGAAGCCCAGGGCCCTAGACATATGTCATTTACATTGTGTTTTGTGCAGTCCTCAAATCAAGAGAAATTTGTAGAAGAATCTCTTTTAAAGGGGAGCAGAGAATGTTGATTCAGTGGACTCTACTTTGTTTTAACCAGTTAATTATATCTCTAGGGACAGATCTCATGCTTTTCTAGACTTCAGTTTTTTCTGTAATTTAGGGCACCAATTAAACCATTCCTAGACTCTGCTTTTGATTTCCATTAGAAGCTGTCCATGGTTCTACACTTGACATGGACACTGATACGCATTGGAGTTCAGCATCAGATTGGTAAAATTTCTGCCTGTGATTTCACCACTGAAGGGAGGACTGAAGCAAATGAAAAGCTGACAAAATTAAACCAGAGCATTTCTTATCCAGTTTCAGTCACTTCCCCATTCTTTCTTGGTTTTTTCTAACAGTGATGTTTGAATATTATAGCACTAGCCTTAGCTGTGAATACCAAATTGATAATGTACTTAACTATATTTAGCCTTCAAGACGCTAATAAGAGAAAGGCTATGCCACTAAATGTAATGATGGCAATAAAGCTGGCTCTTAAGATAAGACTTAGTGTCAGACATTCTTAGCATATAAATCACAATTGTTGGTAAACTTATTATAGGAAACCTGGCTTTCCTTTCATGTCACTCTTTTTCCTGTATCCACAGATCTTCCTTAAAGAAGAATGGTTACTGCAAATGGATCTTCTGTGACTGAATTCATTCTGATGGGGTTAACAGGCCAACCTGACCTGCAAATACCCCTGTTCTTCCTGTTTCTAGTAATGTATATGGTAACTGCATTGGGGAATTTGGGACTGATAATTCTAGTTGTACTGAATTCACACCTTCACACCCCCATGTACTTTTTCCTATTTAATTTATCCTTCATAGACCTCTGTTATTCTTCTGTGATTACACCCAAAATGCTCTTGAACTTTATATTAAGCAAGAATGTTATTTCTTACATGGGATGTATGATACAGCTCTACTTGTTTTGTTTTTTTGCCATTTCTGACTGCTACGTGCTAACTTCAATGGCCTATGACCGCTATGTGGCCATCTGTAATCCACTTATGTATAACACTGCCATGTCTCCTAAAGTGTGTTCCTACCTTATTCTTGGTTGCTACTTGATGGCATTTGCTTGTGCTATGGCCCACACTGGATGCATCCTGAGACTGACCTTCTGCGAAGCAAACACTATCAACCACTTTTTCTGTGATCTCATCCCTTTGCTTCAGCTCTCTTGCACCAGCACTTATGTCAGTCAACTAGAGATTTTCATTGTAGGGGGCAAAGACATTATTGTGCCCAGTCTCACCATCTTTATTTCTTATGGTTTCATCCTCTACAGTATCTTCAAAATGAGGTCAACTGAGGGCAGGTCCAAAGCCTTTAGCACATGCAGTTCCCACATAATTGCGATTTCTCTGTTTTTTGGATCATGTGCATTTATGTATCTGAAACCCTCCTCCAAAGGGTATATAGATAATGGAAAAATCTCATCTGTCTTTTATACCATTGTAGTTCCCATGATGAACCCCTTAATCTACAGCTTGAGAAACAAAGATGTTAAACTTGCCCTGAGTAAAATCCTTAGCAGGAGAAAAGTTTGATCATAAAATAAATCTCTCTCTGCTTATACTTACAGCACAAAACATGTTCAGTAAACATAGAATACAAGATTACATTTCTGCTTTGAAATTTGACTGTTCTTTGTCCTTGGATGATACATGAATTCATTAATTTTTTAATTTGCATTACATTTTTGATCAGGAAAATCATTTGGTTGTTATTTTTGTTGGGGAAGAGGTAACCTTTTTGACTAGTGTAGCTAGGACATGCTAGGCTTAAGTTTGAAACTGATTTTTTTCTCTTTCATGAAAAACGTTTGGAACTTTCTCAACATATTACAGTTGAAAGATCAAGAGCTTGAAAAAGGATGCAACTCATAGACCAGGACCCAAACAGACACTTAGCTTATATATCTGAGCTGTGTGTAAGGAGAATGATCCATGAAAATTTAACAGCATTTTAAGCCTATTTTGTGTTGTTCTATAGAATACAGACAGAAGCCACCACTGGCCATAAAGCCTTGGATAAACTTATAATCCATGATAAATCTCTTTTACTGGTGTTTAGGGAAATCACAGTGAAAAGGTTATGAACACATTTGTGGAAAAGTAGAGGACAATTTTAGAAAATTGAATAGCGAGTGATAGTTGAAACTCAAGTTAGGGAGAAGAAATTTAGGAAGTACAATAATGGGAAAATGGAAATACCCACTTTCTCTTCTATTTTGGATGGTGACAATAGAAGTATGATATTTTTAGAATTTCTCTCTATATAATATAGGCTTATTTTATTGAATAATAAATAAAAACTCAGAGGGCAAGAAGACCTGGAAACAAGTATGTTTCTCCTGGTTTGCTTGGTTTCTATATATTAAAATATAGCTATCTTAATATGTACTATTTTTCCATATTACCCACTCTCCACTCATAGTTTAGGTTCTCTGAGATTCAGAAAAATAGTTTGTTGCCTCCTTTGCTTGTTTATACATGTTTAGAATTGTTTTCTTGATTCAAGGTTTGAAATGAACACTTGTTCCCATCAATGGCTCCAACATTAATGTGCTTGAGTTATTTCTCTATGGGTTCTACTTCCATAAAAGAATTGTAATTTGAAGGACCTCAAATTTTTCTTGGTGTTTCCATGAAGTGATTTTGTTCATGCCCATGTGCCTTGTATAGGTAATGGCATGACTAGGTTAATAGATTTGTATTACCACTTCTCTTATGACTAACCTTGTCTTGTTTCTTGTTTCTGTACCTCTGGCAGTCCTACATAGTATCTTAATATCTTAAACAAAAATGAGTAAGAGAAAATAAGAAATAGGGAAGTACCTGATTTAGGGAATAGAAGACCTAGTACAGTACAAAGATAAATGAAATCCCTAAGATGATGTTGACAAAAGATCTGAAGACTTCATATTTCTGTCATTGTCAGAAGAAAAGATGTCAAGCCAGGAGGGCATCAAAACTCTCCTAGAATGCTTATTTAAGAAGTCTGTATTTAATATTTCTGTCTAAATGCACTGAGAAGAGTTTTATAAGACACAGGGAAGAATTTACAAAGGAAACAAGAAAGTAAATGTAGTAATATGAAAATGAACCCAAAAAGCAATGATGAAAATGGAAACAATTATAGTATACACTGAGTTAGCTTTGAATAATGTTTGAAAATACTTATAATTCTTATAATAGCAATACTATTCATATAACTAAATTTATTATAATTATGAGCAGAACTATGAGTGGGGAGCATGAAGAAAGGGATATCTGTATGTGCGTGCATGCGTGTGCATGTGTGTGAGCGGATGTGTGTGTGCATGTGTGTGTGCGCATGTGTGTGCGCATGTGTGTGCATGTGTGTGTGCAGGTATGGCTTGGTGAGTTTCAGTCTAATTCTCATCTACTAAAAGAGGTTATGTTACAGTTAACCAAAGAGGAGATGCAGAGAGATTATAAAACTACACAAGTGAGAAGAGATTCCTGAACATTTGAAGGTCACGAGTCATCTGGGATTTGAAGACTGGGTGCAGACAGTGAAAGAGAGGAGTACATGAAGTTTATGTTATACATGAATTTCCAGGATTATGGGAAAATAAGAGAGAATTAAATGATGCACCAAGGAAGAACAGCATAGGGTGTCATAAGAAAGTTTAAGTTCATATTGTATACATTAATCTTTGCACACAAAATAGGTAAAAAGCAGAACTCTTTTGGGGCAGAAATATCAGAAATAGAAGCTGTAGAGACAAACCAGTGGCTCACCAAAAAGTGGATAATATTCTCACCCTGTAGGCTTGAAAAGCTGTGATCAGTCTTTTCCATGTTAGGATCTTGGCTAACACGCATAACAAAACATGGATTAATAAGAGAAAAAAACTTAGCATATTTACTTAATTAAAGTTCTTCATTCTAAATAAATGAATCTCCAGATGAAGGCCCCAGACATAGGAGAAATTTGTATTTTTATGATTACGTTTGATGAAGAATGAACGGCCAGGTAAAAAGACAATTAGATAAGAAGATATGATCTAGAGCGTGAGGCTGAAAGAATAAACCCAGCAAGGCCTGTCAGTTGTCACTCTTCTTGTCCTCTGTGTATTGAATTTTGTCCTCCTGAGTATAGATCAGGACCCATTCTGAAATGAGAGACTTAATTCTCGCTCAGACATGGAAAGTCAGAGAATTTCTTTATGTTCACTGCTTACACAGAAAGGTGAAAAATTGTTAAAATAAATTTTTAGATTCAAATAGGACAGGAAAGTGGAGAGAACAAGAAAGGGAAAATGAATAAAATGTTAAAATAAGCCTTTCTACATCATGTCATATGCATTTTTGTGCATAGACCTCTAATCTTATAACCAAATCCCACTGAAAATCATAAACAGCCCTACTAAGACAACTTAAAGAAAGCATATATGAAAGTGTAACAATATCAAAGATGTTCCTGTAGACTAATAGTAAATAACAATATGCCATATTTTTTTATCTTTTCATTGTTTAAAGTCATATAGCATAAGCTCATACACATCAGATAAGACTCTAACAACAGGAAACCCAGATAGGATTCTACAAAGATGCGGGAGATGTAATCAAAAAACATTACACATGTATGAAAAATTGTAATGAAACAAATGCATTTTTGGAAAAATTGCAAGAAAAATGCAAAGGGGTGTGGAAAGGAGATATAAGAAAGAACAATAGAGGGGCTGAATATGGTCAAAGTATATTATATACATATAGAGTAATATCACGATGGAACCCCACATTGTATAATTACTGTGCACTAATAAAATGTGAAAGAAGATAAATTAGTATCCCTAATGTCAATATATCTCAAATATGTAGATGAAAAGATATACATATATAATATACATAATCATTATATATATACGAAATCATTAAGAAAAGAAATGATTGTCTCTCTTATGCCTTTACTCAACTCTGAGTATGGAATATTCTTGTCAATAAATTTGTTTAAATCCCACATTTGATTTCTCTTTAAATGCATTTATGAGGTGAAATCAAAGATTATCTCCTCTTTGTGTCTTGAGTGAATATCTCCCACCCCTTTCTCAGAAATTTCCTTGGGACTCTACAACTCATAGTGATATGACAGTAGACTTGAGGAAGAGAGGTTCTAGTGTCTGTGACCTGTATTGTGGAAGAAGGATTCTTTTAATTTTGTGACCTCCCTTTAGAGACTAAGGAGTGCAAGAGTAAGGACTGTAGTAAAAGGTCAAGAAAACATTTAAGTTTTGATCATCTCCAATGTTCTTGAGTTGAAAGTACTCAGAAAACAGAAGTGCCATACAAAGGATTGTAATTTCTGAGTCCCAAGACCACTCAATAGACATTTGGGAATATCTGGAAAAAATTATGATGAGCCTAATGTTTTATGTGTATGTCCATGAGGTGAGGAGATGCTGAATCTAGTGGGGAGAGATGAAGGGCTCTGTGCATGGTATACTACATAGATTACACCATGCAAAAATATTTTTCCTTCATATGTCAATAGTGCCAAGGATGAGAAACCCTGATTTATATGAAAATGTATGTAGATCAAGGAAAAGGGAAAAAGCATAATAACATGTATTGGGCTCTTTTTACATGTCAGGAATAATTTTAATACTTTATATGAATCATCTCATTTAATTCCCACAATATCCCAAGAAAACATAAAACTCATTTTACAGATATACAGAAATACACGTTGATGCAAGAATAAATAAAAAGGTAAAAGAGGCATTGTATTTTTTGTTAAAATCTCATGGTCAAGAACTTTAAAAGTCTGAATTTAAACTCAAACTGACAGTGTTTATTCTTATTATTACAAGCATCTCTTTCACAGTGTTAATCTATTATCTAATGCTAATAATGCAATCCCAGAAGACTGAGAACTTTACTAGAAATGGGGTGACTCTGTCACTGTTCTTTTTTCTTGTAAATCTGTACAAGGCAGGAAAAAGAACACGATGAAGGGGAATGCACAATATTTTGTCTTGGCGACTAGGTATTCCTTGTGGGAAATTACAAATTCAGCAGAAATTATAGTCTGAAAATATCCAATGTTGGATCTATGTCACTGGTTGTAAACACAGGCTCAGTAATTTCTACCCTCAAGAGGATCAGCCAACCTGGGAGGAAATCATAAAGGACAGAATAAGTTTCTGGCATCTAATTCATTTTCCCATAATTATGGGACATGAAATAGACTCTCATTTGAGTGAGGTGATGTTCTCGGGGCTCATATAAATTGTTTCTTTCCTTCCTGCAAGTGAAGTGAACTTTCTGAAGATACTGAATGGAAACCATGATATGTTTCCCATTATTCCTCTTCTTGCAGATCAGAGGCAGATCTGTGCTGATTGCTATTACGTCCTTAGTCATCAGAAATTTGAACCCCTCAGAATAGTGAGGATGCATTGCTTTGAAGTCCTGAAGCAGTGAGGCCTTTAGAGGAAGAAAGGTGAGCATTGAACAATCTTAGTCTTTATAATTTCTGTTCAGAGCTAAAATAATGTAAGCTATAGGTTATAGAGAAC